GCTTGCCTTGCATGCCTGAGGCCCTGGGTTCGATTCCTCAGCACCACATAAGCAAAAAGAAAAAAGCCGGAAGTGGTGCTGTGGCTCAAGTGGTAGAACGCTAGCCTTGAGCTGAAGAGCTGAGGGACAGTGCCCAGGCCCAGAGTTCAAGCCCCACAAACAGACTCAAAAAATAAATAAATAAATAAAATAGGAAAAGAAAAAAAAAGAATATGCTTTAATACCGAGTCTACTACCTCAGATCTTATATGCTTCCTTGCCTGCTTTCTTTCATTTTTTCTTTCTATTCTTATATTTCTTTCCTTCTCTCTTCCTTTCTTTTTTCTTTCTTTCTTTTCTTTTGCCTTGAACTCAAGGCCTACTTGCGGCTAGCTTGCTTGACTGGCTATACCACTTGAGCAACCTCTACCTTGGCTTTTTGCTGGTTATTTTGGAGATTGAGTCTCTGGGACTTTTCTACCAAGGCTGCCTTGCAACTGTAGTCCTCTGGATCTCAGCCTCCTGAGTAGCTGGCCATTTTTTTTTGGGGGGGGGTCCGGTCGTGGGGCCTGAACTCTGGGCCTCGGCACTGTCCCTCAGCTCTTCAGCTCAAGGCTAGCGCTCTACCACTTGAGCCACCGCCCCATTTTCAGCTTTTTTCTTTTTGCTTATGTGGTGCTGAGGAAGCGAACCCAGGGCCTCATGCATGCAAGGCAAGCACTCTACCACTGAGCCACCTTCCCAGCCCCAATAGTAGCTAGCCATTTTTAAGGGTACAATTCAGTGTCATTAAGTACAAATCCATTATTGTGCAGCAATCATCACCATGCAACTCCAGAAATTTTTTCATCTTGTAAAATGGGAGCTTTGTATCCAGTAAACAATAACTTCATTCTGTCTTCTCCCACTCCATTCACTGATAGGCATGGTCTATCTTTGTTGTTGGGTTTTCATGTTGGGAATTAAACTGAGGGCCTCAGGAGTGCTGAGTGAACTCTACCTCATTCTAAGTGGCTGCCACAGACAACTCCTCCTCCTCAGACTCTTCCTCCTGTTCTTCTTCTTCCTCAGAAAAATTTGTTTTAGGGCTGGGAAGGTGGCTCAGTGGTAGAGCACTTGCCTTGTATGCCTAAGGCCCTGGGTTCGATTCCTCAGCACCACATAAGCAAAAAGAAAAAAAGCCAGAAGTAGCGCTGTGGCTCAAGCAGTAGAGCGCTAGCCCTGGGCTGAAGAGCTGAGGGACAGCGCCCAGGCCCAGAGTTCAGGCCCCACGACTGGACCCCCCCCAAAAAAAAAGAAAAATTTGTTTTAGCTATTTCAGAGATATCAGTCCATCAGACCGAGAAGACATGACAGAGTAGAGCAGAGCAGTTCACATTATAGTAGTGGAGGATGCATTAGTCTCTATGAGTTATTCTTATATGAATTTGACTACTCAGCTATAAATTAGAATTATTATTATTTTTTTGGTGATGGTACTGAGGATGGAAGTCAGGATCTCTTTTTTTGGGGGGTCTAGTCATGGGGGCTGAACTCTGGGCCTGGGCATTCTCCCTCAGCTCTTCTGCTCAAGGCTAGCGTTCTACCACTTGAGCCACAGCACCATTTCTGGCTTTTTTCTGCTTATGTGGTGCTCAGGAATCGAACCCAGGGCCTCATGCATGCGAGGCAAGCACTCTACCACTGAGCCATCTTCCCAGCCCTGTCAGGATCTCATACATTCACTTTTTTTCTTCACTCAGAGCTGGTGTTCAACCACTTGAGCTACCTTCAGTCCATGTAGTCCAGCTTTTTTTTTTTTTTTTGTCGGTTGTGGGGCTTGAACTCTAGGCTTGGGCACTGTCCCTGCACTCTTCAGCTCAAGGCCAGTACTCTACCGCCTCAGCCACAGCACCACTTCTGGTTTTCTAGTGGTTCAATGGAGATAAGTCTCATGGAGTTTCCTGCCCAGGCTGGCTTTGAACCATGCTCCTCAGATCTCAGCCTTCTGAGTAGCTAGGATTACAGGCGTGAGCCACCGGTGCCCGGCTCAGCTTTTTTTTATTTTGTTTTTGTTTTGTTTTTTTATTTGGTCCGGTCATGGGGCCTGAACTCTGGGCCTGGACGCTGTCCCTCAGCTCTTCAGCTCAAGGCTAGTGCTTGAGCCACAGCGCCACTTCTGTTTTTTTTCTTTTTTGCTTATGTGGTGCTGAGGAATCGAACCCAGGGCCTCATGCATGCAAGGCAAGTGCTCTACCACTGAGCCACCTTCCCAGCCCTCAGCTTTTTTTAAATTAATTTACTTTATTGTTACTATAGAGGTGATGTACAGAGGGATTACAATGACATGAGTTAGATAAGTATATTTCCTTTTGTACAGTGTCTTCTGTTCCCTCGTTCTCTCCCAATCCCTGCCTTCCATTTCCACCCACAAGTTGTATAGTTCACTTTCATCAGTGTCCAGTGAGCTCTACTGCTACACTTTCTCACCCTTTTTCCTTTGAGTTCTGTACCCTCCCCAAAACCCCTCCAAAAGATGTACACTTGAATACACCATACATAATGTAAAGAAGACAGAATCATCAAAACAGTCCAGCATTTTTTATCCTCTAAGACTTTTCTGCCCAGGCTAGTTTTTAATCTTGGTCCTCTAGTTGTCAACCTCCTAATTAGCTAGGATTATAGGTGTGAGCCACTGGTGCTCAGCTTAGGTCTCAGCATATTTTTTGTGATTTGTGTTTGTTTGTTTGTTTTGTTTTTGTTTTTGTCGGTCGTGGGGCTTGAACTCTGGGCCTAAGCACTGTCCCTCAGTCTTCAGTTCAAGGCTAGCCCTCTACCACTTGAGCTACAGCGCCATTTCCAGTCTTCTGGTGGTTTATTGGAGATAAGAGTCTCACGGACTTTCCTGCCCAGGCTGGCTTTGAACCATGATCTCGGCCTCCTGAGTAGCTAGAATTACAGGCGTGAGCCACCAGC